GAAGAAAAACATACCAAAAACATATATGACCGCCGTTCAAATAAGGAGAAAAATGTTCTACTTACAAACTTTTATGTGTCTATCTCTTTCATGTCACGTGTGCATCATTCACATTTTTGTATTGGAGATGTTTTTAGTCATTCAACTTTGTCATATTTCCGGCCTATCCACCAATCCATTGTTGTGAATTGTGATAGAATTACAGATGAAATAGTAAAACTTACCCAATAATTTACTTTATAGTCAAAAGATTAAAATTGAAGAACTTTCAAAACAACATCAAAAGTTTCTCTTGTGACTACTAAAAGTAAAACTCATGCGTATTAGGAAGTACTACGGATGTATTTGGGCAGAATCAACTGTATTTTGATATGCACGTTTCAGATATACGTAGTACATTACACGTTTGACTATACTATACACACACACAATTTACTTTTTCTAGACCCACTACCTATGTACAAAAAAGTGTACAAAAAAGTAAAAAAAAAAAACAAAGTGTGCAAACATTTATGTGCAAAAAAAAAGTGTGCAAACATAATTTTCCACATAAACACAGAATTGAAGTAGAAAGTCGTCTGACCTGAAGCTTTGCTCTTATCTTGTCCGAGAGATAATATTCCTTCATTATATACTTCCCATCGTGTTCTTTTAATTCTTTATTTTCGTATCTCAAGCTCCTCTTGTATCCTATAAGTTCTGGCACAGAACCGGACATGTAAATAGGCTTTCCTCTATCCTGCGCTTTCCACGTCCCCATCTCGTCTTCGTCCCCGATCCTCCGACTATAACGGGCGTTCCCGGGCCTTCTCTTTTTCAACCGCGTGAAGAAGTACAAGATAGTTTCTTTTGACGTCTCAAAAAGCTCCCACGGCTCTATTCCGTCGTACAGGTCCTTCTCCGGTATCGGAACCGTCGAATCTACTGGTTTCCCGATGAGAAAAAAGCACAGGAATTGCAGTAGTTGTACATCGGACGGCCGGAATAAGCAGTCTCCGGGAAGGCCTCGCCGTACCATGATGAGGAGCAACGGCAGAAAAACGACAAAAACAACTGTATACGTTTTGCTAGATTTTGTTAAACACGATCTGTGTTCGATAAAACACGGTTGCTTTAAGGTAAAATAAACGCTTTATGTGGTAAATGCGGCGTTATGTTTAACCTACTCCGATCCGTATACTACGTATATTTATAGGCGTTTTGATTCATGCGAATTGGAGTCCAATTTGGTTTAGGAAACTGGGCCTAATATAAGTTGACAAATGACAGTTGTACGTATGAGAATTTTTGGATACTTATTAATACTCCGTACAATACTTACTTTTTCTATCAAAATACGTATGTAGTACGATAAAAACTATCCCATTTTATCAATAGGAAAGACTAAAGAGTAGGGAGAGCAAGTACAAGAGTAGGCATAATGGTATGGTATTGTTTGTGACTTATTCTTATTTTATTTAAATTAGAATCAAATCACAAAAGTTCACATCAAAGATTTAAATTAGATCACATCAAATTAGGTAACAAATATTTAAGGCTATGTTTGGCACACAAAAAGCTCTAATTTCTAGCTTTTCTATTCTTTAAAAAGACTTTTTATGGTAAAAAGACCTTAAAAGACTCTAGTTGTATGTTTGGCATGACATTTCTTACGAGCTTTTGAAAAATTAAAAGATCTTTTTTGAGATGATACCGCGTGTGGCATCTGAGAAAAGCTCGTGACTTTTAGTATTAATTAGTCCTAACATCTTGTATACCAAACTGAACAAAATCAAACAGTCAGCTTTTTGCCAAACAACTATCACATTTTCCTTTTAAGATCTTTTGAGTCACTAAAAGGAGTAAAAGCTAACAGTTACTAAAAAACCCGTAAAAGTATCTTTTTAGCTAGTTGTGCCAAACATACCCTAAATCAGATCTGATCAGAAAGATTCAAATCAGACCAAAAACATTCAGATCATACTAGTATAATACGTAGTAATAATAATTATAGTAATAATAAACATTCAATCAGATCAGAAGTATTCAATCATATCAAATAAGAAAGATTCAGATCAGGTTAGATTAGAAAACATTAGATCAAATCGGACCAGATCTTAAAAATTGAGATCAGAAATATTCGAACATAACGACTTCTAATTTACTTTCGGGTCGATTCTAATCCCGGATTTGCTGCTCCAATTCCCAAGGCGGTCCCGATTTTTATATTTTTATACTCCCTCCATCCCATAATGAACTTCTCAGTTTGACTTCACACAGATTAAGAAAATAAATTTGACTTTACTGTGGAGTGCACTGTTTTGCACTGTTTAAACACTGTTTGACACTGTTTGACACTTTTTTGATGTAGATTATTTGCCAAATAAGGAAAGTTTTGAAGTGTGAAGTTAATTTCAGGACTGCCCGAAAAGGTAAGTAAGAAGTTAATTTTAGGATGAAGGGAGTATATTTTATTATACCATTGTGATCCCCTTCTCTACCCCACTTTTAGCTTTTGATTTACACATCTCTTGAAATTCTTTAAATGCTAGAATTGCAAAAAAAAATCAAGATCAAACCCGGTGGCGTATTTAGAAAATACTCTCAGAGGTGCCGAAATCATATTAGAACTTGGTCACATACTACACAAATAGCAAACCACATTATTAATATTCCTCGATTAGATTTAGTTTATGATATATGCGTACAAGTATGTCGAGTACGTATATCGTAGACCCGGGTGTACGGGTGAGAACCGTACATCCGGGCTTTTTTTAAATTTTTTAAGTTTCAGTCCATTTTAATAACTCAGTTTAAACAGAATTAAATGAATCCCACGGATGGCCCATAAAAAGGCCCAATTAAAAGAAAGATAGTTCATTTGATTAAAACAACCTATTTTTCTCGGTGGCAGTTTTGTAATTTAAGCGAAAAATAATGGCTCCCGCTAAATGAGCAACATTGTAGTTTTGTTGAGCATCTCACATATTGTATTGAGTATTATGAGCCTAATAATGAGTATCGCGATCTCTACTTCATATCTTCTATTTTTTCTGCTATAAAAACTTACTCCGTATTAAATTATATCTAAAATTCACTACTATTAATTTCAATATGCGAGTCTAATGTAATATGATACTTTTGAAATATGCATCGATATGTCATTTTAAAAATGAGCATAACGTCAATATCAAATGATCTTACATAACTAACAAAATGCACGTTGATATGAAAATCGTAAGGTTTGTTAGTTGAACATCATGGCATTTTAAATGAGCATCAAACCTCAACTATTGAGATGAAAATCACGACTTCTGGAGAATGAGTAATAATGAACTTTTAATGAGCACCCTAACTATTCTGTTGAGTATTAGGAGTCTAATATTCAGAATCGTGATCTCTGCTTTACAAACTTCTAATTCACTTTCTTTTTGTTATTTTTATCGTAAGGGTTGTTAGTTAAACATCACGACATTTTAATTGAGCATCAAACATCTGTTATTGAGATGAAAATCATAGTTTCTTGTGAATGAGCAATAATGAACTTTTAATGAGCATCGATCCTATTATGTTGAGTATTAGGAGTCTATCATAAAATCATACTTTTAAAAAATGCATTGATATGACATTTAGAAAATGAGCATATAATGAGTATTAGATGAACATATATAACTTACAACATGAGTATTAATGAATTTGGTAGCTAATTTGTTGGTTAAACATCACAACATTTCCATTCAGCATCAAAACTCCTCTATTGAGGGTGATGAAAATCATGATTTCTATTAAATGAGCATTAATGAATTTTTAATGAGCATCAGGCCTATAGAAATGAGCATATGTAAATTACATCATTTAGAAAATGAGTATAAGATGAGTACCGGATGAGCATAGTAACTTACAAAATGTGCATTGATGTGAAGATTGTCACGCCCCGGACCTATCCGGACTCGTCAACAATCCGCCGTACAGTACGAATAGTCAACCGCAGTCCAACACATTCATACTATACAAGGCGTCTGGGATATCATTCACACATAGTACATCCATAAACAAACATAATGTAAAATATTCATTCAAAGCAGCGGAAACATTTAATACAAGTGTTCGTGCCACACTTTGGCAAACATGGGCATACAAGCCCCCAAATAAATATTTGAAAATATTATCCATGAGCATTGTTCAAAATGTTTTCAAAATAGGAACGGAAGAAGCACGAACCACGTCTCCCTCCTTTGATCTTCCCGAAGCAACGGGCGGTGGTAGCAACCTTCAAGTTCTACCTGAAACTGTGAGGTGGCCTCCCCCGTGAAGGGGAGGTTAGTACTTGGAAGCATTTGACAAGTACAATGACAACTATACTAAATATAATCAAAGTTTCAATTTCCAAGACCCTCAATCTAGGGTGTTATTGTATCGTGGTTAACTTTATTCGTTTCGTGTTAATTCATCATTTCTTATCACGGTCTAGAGCCCAGCTCAATAATCACCGTTACCTACTACGGTCTAGAGCCCAGCTCAATAATCACCGTCGTCTACATCGGTCTAGAGCCCAGCTCAATAATCACCGATAACTACTACGGTCTAGAGCCCAGCTCAATAATCACCGTTATCTACATCGGTCTAGAGCCCAGCTCAATAATCACCGATAACTATTACGGTCTAGAGCCCAGCTCAATAATCACCGTCATCTACATCGGTCTACAGCCCAGCTCAATAATCACCGATTCTTTACAATTCAATTTCTTAGGATCCATTCATCCATTATTCAACTACAATTCCAACTAATATTTCAATACTAGTTATTTACTCATTTCAACGTAATTCTTCATTCAATATGTAGTTTGACCTTAATATCAAAATATCACTTTTGTTCTTTCATGGCTTCTTCTAATGAAATAAAAGCATACTTATCACATGTGGGATTTATGGTTGATACTACTATCATGCCATCATATTCATAACATATAAACATACACAATTTATTCAATAAATTTGTATATTATGCAAACTATACTTATATTCACTAGTAATTTCATTTAGGCATTATTAACCATTAATAATCCATGCAAATCACATTGTGTATTCATTTAGGAAATCTCATGAAATTAACCCAAAGGTTATAAGCAATATAGTCGGTGTCACGCCCCGGACCCTCCCGGACACGTCAACAACCCGCCGTACAGTACGAATAGTCAACCGCAGTCCAACTCATCCATACCATACAAGGCGTCTTGAATACCATTCACATTAGTACATCCATAAACAATCACAATGTAAATCATTTAATTAAGCAGCGGAAATATTAATACAGCATTCGAGCCACACGTGGCAAACACGGGCGTGCAAGCCCTAAATAATTATTCGGAAAATAGTATCCATGAGCATTAATTTGAATGTTTAAAACAGAAACGGAGGAAGCACGAACCACGTCTCCTCTCCTTGAAAATCCGCCCGAAGCAACGGTGATGGTAGCAACCTTCAAGTTCTACCTGAAACTGTGAGGTGGCCTCCCCCGTGAAGGGGAGGTCAGTACTTGGAAGCATTTGACAAGTACAATGACAACTATACTAAGTATAATCAAAGTTTCAATTTCCAAGACCCTCAATCTAGGATGTTATTATATTATAGGTCATAACCCGTGGTTACCCTCTTTGAAAGTATACTTACTTTATATATAAAGTCAAGTAGTCGCCCGAAGGCCTATGTTTACCTTGAAAGCATTTAACCCTTTCCCCGTGACTTCAAGCCACACCCATCTATATTAGTTTACCATGCTAGAGGCTTCCTCTAGTCATGTTTTGTCGTGCTAGAGGCTGACTCTAGTCACTCCACTTGGTGTTAGAGGCTTCCTCTAATCACCTTACATACGTTGTGCTGGAGGCTTCCTCCAGTCACATTACGTTACGCTAGAGGCTTCCTCTAGTCGTCCTACACGAATGCTGGAGGCTTCCTCCAGTCATTCTTCATCGTGCTCGAGGCTTCCTCTAGTCACGATACTAATTCACTAAGCAATCTCTATGCCTAGAGTTCCTCTACTATGAGTAACCTTCAAGATCCACTCCTACGGTAACTTAGCGTTTACTCATTTCTACCTTAAGACATTTCATATGACTACTTAAGGTACATCTTTCACAATCCAAACCCCTAGGATTTGTTCTATCACTTTTCATGCTAACATTCCCGGCTAGTATTTCTATACTAGTCATTTAACCTTAATAAGCCAATGCAATTTCATAGTAATTTGGCTATTTCAATTTAATTCCACATTCAAGTATAACTTGGTTCTAATATCAAAATATCACTTTTATCCTTCCATGACTTCCTTACATGAGGTAAAAGTATATTTATCACAATTCATTTACAGTTTACACACTATTATACCATTTTATTCATAATACATAATCATACACAATTTATTCATAAATTTGTATATTATGCACTTTTACTTATAAACAATAATAATCTCATTTAGGCATTTTTTTTTTATTTTGAATAAATCATGCCAAACACATATAATTTATTTAGGTAATCTCATGAAATTAACCCAATAATTATAAGCAATATAGTCGGTCATCCTCACCTTAAGTGAGCTTAAGCGTGTTCTACGCTCCGCGGTTGAACTTTGACTATTTCCGGTGAACTTTGACCAACTCCGGCCAACTTTGACCAACTCCGGCGAAACTCCGGCGAAGCTCCAAAAATACTTTAATCAAGTTCCTAACAAGGTTTTAACATCATAAAACCTTAATCAATACAAATAACCTCTAAAAGGTTATTTTCCGGTAAACCGGTCGTTTTGGCTTCTATGTCCGTTTTTGGACATAGAACCACCTTCCAACCCATCATTCTACACTATTAATATGGTAGAATAATACTTGGGTTATCCTTAACATTTTGAATAATAATCTCTTCAAGAAAAGGAGGAAGGAAGTAAGTGAACTCATTACCTAGTTTTTCCTCACTTTTAGCACTTTAGCTCCTTTTCTTGAGGTTCTTCCTTGTAGAGTTCTCTTCAACAATGGAGGATAGGCTTGAGAGCTCCCTTGCTCTTGATGGATGGATGCTGGCCGAGAAAATGAGAGGAGAGGGGGGTTTGGGGTTGTCTTTTGTCTCATTGATCAATGAGTAAGGATGAGGGCCCATCCCATTTTGTTTGATGCTTTCTCCATCACTTCACACACATCTCTCATGCTTCTTCTACCACACCAGCCGGCCAAATCATGAAAAAATGTGGCTAATTTCGTGGGTTGGCCCCCACCCATGTGGGAGGTCAACCCCTTTTGTCCAGAAGTGTACACTTTGTCCCGAAAGTTGTGTTTTTCGGACCATTTAAAATACATTTTATTTTATCGGGTCAAATAAAATATATTATGTGTTCTCCATCATTAAGACTCTTATGATGAATATTCATACCCCAACTTTAATTTATAAGTCCCCGAAATTCAATTTCGGGCTTTTATCGGTTAAATTGCCAATATCGGTATTTAGGCCTCTTTTGACCAATCGGTCAACTCCGGACCTTTCCATGGCTCAAGTGAGTTATCCTCCACCATATAAATATTATCTAGACCGAGATGGATAGTTTATGTAGTCCCGGGAGTATTGGGCGGCCCCCGCTCCCGGTGCGGGCCCCACGTGCGAATTTACTATTCGCGCAAAATAATTAATAAGAATCCATAACATTGTAAACTCGTTAACCATTCCACAAGGTTAAATACAATATTATTCACTTAAAAGTAAATACATTTTGGGGACGGTGTTACAAGTTCACCCCCCCTTATTTGGGATTTCGTCCCCGAAATCCATGTGTCTAATCGAAAAGGAACGGGTATTGCTCCCTCATTGAGACCTCGGTCTCCCAGGTTTCTTCTTCGACTCGATCACTCCTCCAAAGAACTCTTACCATAGGAATCTCTTTGTTCCTCAATTTCTTCACCTGTTGACCCACAACCTTTACCGGTTCCACTGTATATTGTAGATCTTCACGTATCTCCACCGGTGGCTTCTCAAGAACATGAGATGGATCTCTCACGTATTTCTTGAGCATCGATACATGAAACACGTCGTGTATCTTCTCAAGTTCCGGCGTCAGCTTGAGACGGTAAGCCACCGCCCCAATCCTTTCAAGGATTTCAAACGGACCAATGTATCGGGGGTTGAGTTTTCCCCTCGATATAAATCGGATGATACCCTTCCAGGGAGAAATTCTTAGGAAGACCTTATCACCGACCTCGAACTCCAATGGCCTGCGTCGTTTATCGGCATAGCTCTTCTGCCGATCTTGGGCAGTCTTGAGTCTATCCTGAATGACTTTCACTTTAGTCTTGGTGATTTCAACAAGTTCAATCCCCTCGAGCTTGGCCTCGCCAACCTCGTCCCAACATAACGGTGTCCTGCACTTCCTCCCATACAATGCCTCGTATGGAGGCATGCCAATGCTCGCCTGATAACTATTGTTATAGGCGAACTCGACTAGAGCCAAATGTTTGTCCCAACTTCCTTGGAACTCCAGAGCACACGCCCTAAGCATGTCCTCCAATATCTGTATCACTCGCTCGGATTGTCCATCCGTCTGTGGATGAAAAGCCGTGCTAAACTTCAATTTAGTACCCAAAGATGCTTGAAACTAGGGCCAAAATCGAGATGTGAATCGTGGATCCCTATCCGAGACAATGGATATCGGGACTCCATGTAGTCTTACAATCTCCTCCGTGTATAGCTTCGCCAATCTTTCAAGAGGGTAAGTGATGTTAATAGGCAAAAAGTGAGCACTCTTGGTGAGCCTATCAACTACTACCCATACCGCATCATAGTTGTTCACGGTCCGTGGCAACCCCACCACGAAATCCATAGTCACATGCTCCCACTTCCATTCTGGAATGGAAAGTGGCTGTAATAACCCAGCTGGATGCTGATGCTCTGCCTTGACTTGCTGACAAGTAAGGCACCGACTGATGTACTCGGCTATCTCCCTCTTCATACCGGACCACCAGTAACTTTCTTTCAAATCGCGATACATCTTCGTGCCCCCCGGGTGCATGGCATAAGCCGATGAATGAGCTTCCTCTAAGATGGACTTTCGGAGCTCATCATCTGCCGGCACACACACTCGGTCACGAAATAATAAAAGACCGTCGTCTCTTTCTCTGAAGTCCTCCACCGGTCCCGCTTGCAAGCGTTCCCTGATCTTCACAATCTCATCGTCCGTTTCCTGACCCTTCTTGATCTCATCAAGCAAAGTAGGTCTCACCTCAAACCGCGCCAATAAGGCACCATTACTGGACACCTCCAGTTGGGCTCTTAATGCCCTCAAATTAGCTATCAATGCCCCAGTTGAGCTCTTCCGGCTCAAAGCATCTGCCACTACATTTGCCTTGCCTGGATGGTACTCAATCACTAGGTGGTAGTCCTTTATCAACTCCATCCACCGTCTCTGCCTCATGTTTAACTCTTTCTGAGTAAACACGTACTTCAAGCTCTTATGGTCAGTGTATATGTGACATGTCTCTCCGTAGAGATAATGTCTCCAAATCTTCAGTGCGAACACCACTGCTCCCAACTCTAGATCATGGGTGGGGTAATTTACCTCATGCTTCTTCAACTGTCGTGAAGCATAGGCAATTACCCTCCCCTCCTGCATTAACACACATCCAAGCCCTTGGATGCTCGCGTCACTATAGACATCGTACCCCATACCCTGTTTGGGTAATGCAAGTACCGGTGCCTCGGTTAATCTCTTCTTCAGTTCAGTGAATCCTTTCTCACACTTGTCATCCCATACAAACTTAGCTCCTTTTCGAGTGAGCTTTGTCAACGGTGATGCCAAAACAGAGAACTTTTCCACGAACTTTCTATAGTATCCTGCCAATCCAAGGAAACTACGAATTTCCTTGACGTTCTTTGGCCTCTCCCATTCGGTGATGGCTTCTATCTTCTTGTTGTCGACAGCAATTCCCGATCCCGAAACCACGTGCCCGAGAAAGCCAATCTCCTTAAGCCAAAATTCACATTTAGAAAATTTGGCATAGAGTTGCTTCTCCCGTAGTGTCTCAAGAACGAGTATCAAGTGCTCCTCATGCTCTTCCTCACTCCTTGAGTAGATCAAGATGTCATCAATGAACACAATCACGAATCGGTCCAAGTATTTGTGAAATACTCGGTTCATCAAGTCCATGAATGCCGCCGGGGCGTTTGTTAATCCAAACGACATAACAAGGAACTCAAAATGCCCATACCTCGTGCGGAAAGCACTCTTCGGTATGTCATCCTCCTTTATCTTCAATTGATGGTACCCCGACCTCAAGTCAATCTTTGAAAACACGGTTGCTCCTCGTAGTTGATCAAACAAGTCATCAATCCTAGGCAAGGGATACCTATTCTTGATTGTGACCTTGTTCAGTTGACGATAGTCAATGCACATTCGAAGTGTTCCATCCTTCTTTTTCACAAAAAGGACCGGTGCTCCCCATGGGGAGTGGCTTGGTCTGATGAAACCGTTATCCAAAAGCTCTTGCAATTGGGTTTTTAACTCGTTAAGTTCAGCGGGTGCCATACGGTATGGTGGTATGGAGATTGGTTTGGTGCCGGGCTCGACCTCGATCACGAACTCAATCTCCCTATCGGGTGGAAGTCCCGGTAAGTCTTTAGGAAAGACGTCCGGATACTTGCATACTATCCTAACATCGTCAATACTCGTCTCTTCTTTGGTTTTGTCCACTACATATGCTAGATATGCATGACACCCCTTCCTCATCATATTCTTAGCCCTCACAGCGGATATGATGCAACTATTGGATTTTGCCCTATCCCCCTCGAAGCGTAAGGTTACCCCTTCATTGCCTTCGAGTTCAAGTACTTTCGTGTAACAATCGACCCTAGCATGATGCTTCTCAAGCCAATCCATACCCAGGATTGCATCGAACTCAATCATACTCAGCGGCACGAAATCACACGACAAGTTTTGGCCCTCCACTTCCACCTCACACGATGGATAGTGGCTATCTCTCTCGATGTCTTCCCCTAGGGGTGTGGATACCAATAGGGCTTGAGCCATCGGTATCAGGGGCACGTTGAATCCCCCGGCGAATGCCTCACTCACAAATGATCGTTGCGCCCCAGTATCGATGAGGATTCTCGCACATCTCCCATTAATCTTTAATGTTCCTACATTTATACACCATGTGAGATACATTTTCTAATGTTTTTACACATCATGGGAGGTTATTAAGTAAATACTAAGGTTTGGAATCAATCGGGGGTCCAAACGTAAAAGAACGGAGCGAAAAAATTTGATTTTCGGGTTCTGGGGCCCACGCACGGCGTGCCTGGGTGGCACGCACGACCGTGCGTGCAGCGAACTTACCCTGCGTGCCACTGCCGGCCAGGCACGATGCCAGGCACGGCGTGCCTACGGCCGTGCCTGGCCAAAATTACTTCGGACGCCACTGCCTTCCAGGCACGACGCCAGGCACGGCGTGCCTGCGGCCGTGCCTGGCCCAAAATTTTTTTTTTTTTTTCTTTACTTCGGGTGCCACTGCCTTCCAGGCACGACGCCAGGCACGGCGTGCCTGCGGGCGTGCCTGGCCAGCAGTGGCTGTTTCTAGCCCGATTCGGCCTAACGCACCCGGTTTGACCCCGGGGTGGCCCGTACTCAATCCCAACGACGTATATGATCAAAGTAAGCCTAAAAATGACCAGAATAAGTGTATTACCTGCGACGGAGTCGGGATTAGCCCGAGCATCGGCCTCGGTCATTGCGTACACTCTCGCTTGAGCCCTTCCTTGGTTCACGGAGGGTGCGTTGCTTGTACTTGCCCCGCCATGGTTCGTGCTTGCATTGGGTGCCCCACCCCGGTTTCTACTCACCATGGTTGCACTGCTTGGCCCTGATGACCGGTTCCCACCAAGTTGAGGGCAATTGGGCTTTATGTGCCCCGTATCTCCGCATTGGTAGCACCGTGGGGGATCACGACATTTGCCCTCGTGGTTTCTCTTGCAATTCCTGCACTTAGGCTTCGTCGGGGCTTGTGATCCCGAGTTCTGCCCACTCATGTTGGGATTCCCCCTTGATGGTGGTGCGGGTGCCCTGAAGGATCCTCCTCCCCCGTGATTCCCCTTCTTGTTTGAACCCTGGGGGCCATGGTTCTCCCATTTTCTTTTCCTTGCCTCCTCGGCATTTCTTCGTTTCCTTTCCTCCCATTCCTTCTCCCCCTTCAAGCCTTGTTCGACCACTTGGCTAAACGTCATATTAGGCAATTGTGTTGCCCTCTCACGTATATCAAGGTCCAAGGCGTCCCAGAAATGGTTCACCATCCGATTTTCATCACAAATGTATTCCGGTATGAACTCAGCAAGTTTTCTGAACTTGTGCTCAAGCTCCTTCACTGTGCACTCACCTCCTTGGGTTAAGGTTGTGTACTCCCTCCTCTTTAAATTCACTTCAAAGTCGGAGTAGTATTGGCTAAAGAATTCTTGCCTGAAGTTCTCCCAAGTGACCGCCTCACCATACTTCCCCTTGACACCGTCCCACCATGTGGACGCCATTCCTTCTAGCAATCTTGTTGCCACTCTCATCTTCATATGGGGTGGCAGCTGCATATCAAGGGCCGCTTCATTGAATCTTTTGATCCATTCGGCTGCCACGGAGATGTCTCCCATTCCATCGAATGGTTTGCATCCCAACTCTCTCGCCTCTTTGAGGTATTTCGAGATTCTGATAATGGGAACCTCGGTACCTCTTCCTCCTCGGGACTCCTCATGTTCCCTAGAGCTAACACGGCTCTCTCTTCTCGAAGCCCCTCCTGAAGCACGCCTTGCCCGGCGCCTTTGGCGGTCTTGTTGGTATTGCCGAAGCAATTCCTCAATCCGCTCGAGGGCGTCATTATCGTCGCTCCCCTCGCTAATGTCATCATCTTCCCCATCATATGGGGTTTCAACCGGCTCCGTTCCCGGTCGGTACGTTGAATCCTCCTCGGACTCATAATGCTCGCCAATTGTTTCAACATGACCGTCACTAACGGTCAGCGAGTGGCCTGCACGGCCCTGCCCCCGAGACACCCTTGATGCCCCTCGACTGCCATGTTGGGACCTTCCCGGCGCCTGGCCAGTCGGGTTTCGTCGGGTGACTTTACCGGTGCGTTCCATTTCTGAAAGAGATAGAGAAGGAGTCATTAGACCCGTATCAAATGTCAAGTGACGGATAGGCACTTAAAGACATCCTTTGGCTCAAATCACCGTCATACCAATTGCTAAGGGTACCATCTTAACAATTAGAGACCTTGCAACCCAAGTACCAAAAGCTCTCCAAGTACAAAACTTCTATGCTCATGGTTTTCAAAATCTTTTCAAGAGAGAATTTTGAGACTTCATTATGAAGTTTATGGACTAAGGCTCTGATACCAATTAAATTGTCACGCCCCGGACCCTCCCGGACACGTCAACAACCCGCCGTACAGTACGAATAGTCAACCGCAGTCCAACTCATCCATACCATACAAGGCGTCTTGAATACCATTCACATTAGTACATCCATAAACAATCACAATGTAAATCATTTAATTAAGCAGCGGAAATATTAATACAGCATTCGAGCCACACGTGGCAAACACGGGCGTGCAAGCCCTAAATAATTATTCGGAAAATAGTATCCATGAGCATTAATTTGAATGTTTAAAACAGAAACGGAGGAAGCACGAACCACGTCTCCTCTCCTTGAAAATCCGCCCGAAGCAACGGTGATGGTAGCAACCTTCAAGTTCTACCTGAAACTGTGAGGTGGCCTCCCCCGTGAAGGGGAGGTCAGTACTTGGAAGCATTTGACAAGTACAATGACAACTATACTAAGTATAATCAAAGTTTCAATTTCCAAGACCCTCAATCTAGGATGTTATTATATTATAGGTCATAACCCGTGGTTACCCTCTTTGAAAGTATACTTACTTTATATATAAAGTCAAGTAGTCGCCCGAAGGCCTATGTTTACCTTGAAAGCATTTAACCCTTTCCCCGTGACTTCAAGCCACACCCATCTATATTAGTTTACCATGCTAGAGGCTTCCTCTAGTCATGTTTTGTCGTGCTAGAGGCTGACTCTAGTCACTCCACTTGGTGTTAGAGGCTTCCTCTAATCACCTTACATACGTTGTGCTGGAGGCTTCCTCCAGTCACATTACGTTACGCTAGAGGCTTCCTCTAGTCGTCCTACACGAATGCTGGAGGCTTCCTCCAGTCATTCTTCATCGTGCTCGAGGCTTCCTCTAGTCACGATACTAATTCACTAAGCAATCTCTATGCCTAGAGTTCCTCTACTATGAGTAACCTTCAAGATCCACTCCTACGGTAACTTAGCGTTTACTCATTTCTACCTTAAGACATTTCATATGACTACTTAAGGTACATCTTTCACAATCCAAACCCCTAGGATTTGTTCTATCACTTTTCATGCTAACATTCCCGGCTAGTATTTCTATACTAGTCATTTAACCTTAATAAGCCAATGCAATTTCATAGTAATTTGGCTATTTCAATTTAATTCCACATTCAAGTATAACTTGGTTCTAATATCAAAATATCACTTTTATCCTTCCATGACTTCCTTACATGAGGTAAAAGTATATTTATCACAATTCATTTACAGTTTACACACTATTATACCATTTTATTCATAATACATAATCATACACAATTTATTCATAAATTTGTATATTATGCACTTTTACTTATAAACAATAATAATCTCATTTAGGCATTTTTTTTTTATTTTGAATAAATCATGCCAAACACATATAATTTATTTAGGTAATCTCATGAAATTAACCCAATAATTATAAGCAATATAGTCGGTCATCCTCACCTTAAGTGAGCTTAAGCGTGTTCTACGCTCCGCGGTTGAACTTTGACTATTTCCGGTGAACTTTGACCAACTCCGGCCAACTTTGACCAACTCCGGCGAAACTCCGGCGAAGCTCCAAAAATACTTTAATCAAGTTCCTAACAAGGTTTTAACATCATAAAACCTTAATCAATACAAATAACCTCTAAAAGGTTATTTTCCGGTAAACCGGTCGTTTTGGCTTCTATGTCCGTTTTTGGACATAGAACCACCTTCCAACCCATCATTCTACACTATTAATATGGTAGAATAATACTTGGGTTATCCTTAACATTTTGAATAATAATCTCTTCAAGAAAAGGAGGAAGGAAGTAAGTGAACTCATTACCTAGTTTTTCCTCACTTTTAGCACTTTAGCTCCTTTTCTTGAGGTTCTTCCTTGTAGAGTTCTCTTCAACAATGGAGGATAGGCTTGAGAGCTCCCTTGCTCTTGATGGATGGATGCTGGCCGAGAAAATGAGAGGAGAGGGGGGTTTGGGGTTGTCTTTTGTCTCATTGATCAATGAGTAAGGATGAGGGCCCATCCCATTTTGTTTGATGCTTTCTCCATCACTTCACACACATCTCTCATGCTTCTTCTACCACACCAGCCGGCCAAATCATGAAAAAATGTGGCTAATTTCGTGGGTTGGCCCCCACCCATGTGGGAGGTCAACCCCTTTTGTCCAGAAGTGTACACTTTGTCCCGAAAGTTGTGTTTTTCGGACCATTTAAAATACATTTTATTTTATCGGGTCAAATAAAATATATTATGTGTTCTCCATCATTAAGACTCTTATGATGAATATTCATACCCCAACTTTAATTTATAAGTCCCCGAAATTCAATTTCGGGCTTTTATCGGTTAAATTGCCAATACCGGTATTTAGGCCTCTTTTGACCAATCGGTCAACTCCGGACCTTTCCATGGCTCAAGTGAGTTATCCTCCACCATATAAATATTATCTAGACCGAGATGGATAGTTTATGTAGTCCCGGGAGTATTGGGCGGCCCCCGCTCCCGGTGCGGGCCCCACGTGCGAATTTACTATTCGCGCAAAATAATTAATAAGAATCCATAACATTGTAAACTCGTTAACCATTCCACAAGGTTAAATACAATATTATTCACTTAAAAGTAAATACATTTTGGGGACGGTGTTACAGTCGGTCATCCTCACCTTAAGCGAGTTTAAGCGTGTTCTACGCTTCCCGGTTGAACTTTGACTAACTTTGACCAACTCCGGCAAACTTTGACCAACTCCGGCGAAACTCCGGCGAAGCTCAAAGGTACTCTAAATCAAGTTCCTAACAAGGTTTTAACATCATAAAACCTTAATCAATACACATAACCTCTAAAAGGTTATTTTCCGGTGAACTTGTCGGTTTGGGTTCTAAATCCATTTTTTGACATAGAACCACCTTCCAACCCCTTGTTCCACATTTATCAACATGTAGAACAATCCTAGGGTTCTTCATAATTCCTCAAATAATAATATATTCAAGAAAATAGGAGAAGAAGGTAAATGAAGTCATTACCTAGTCTTTCCTCAAGTTTTGTACACTTTTGGAACTTGAACTTTTTCCTAGAGCTTCCTTCTTGTTGGAGATTTCTTCAACAATGGAGAGGGAAGGTGGAGGGTTTCCTTGCTCTTGCTGGGTTGGTGTTTGGCCGAAATGATCAAGGGACAAGGGGGTGGGTGTTACTTTGTCTCAATAGCATGAGTGGAGTGGGGGAGGGTCCACATTATTTGTTTGATGCCTTTCCCCTCACTTCACACTCTCCTCCCATCCACCTCCAACACATCAACCGGCCACACCCTTCAATTTGGGTAGCCAAATTCGTGGGTTGGCCCCCACCCATGTGGGAGGTCAACCCTTTTTGTCCAGAAGTGTACAATCGGTCCCGAAAGTTGTATTTTTCGGACTGTTTTAAATATATTTTATTTTATCGGGCCGAATAAAATATATTATGTGTTCTTAATCATTATACCCTTTATAATGAATGTACATTTCCCAACTTTAATTTATAGGTCTCCGAAATCCCATTTCGGGCTTTTATCGGTTAAATTACCAACACCGGTATTTGAGCCACTTTTGACCAATCGGTTTACATTATACCTTTCCCTTGGCCCAAATGAATTACCCACTACTATGTAATTATTATCTTGACCAAAATAAATAAAGTATATGGTTTCGGAAATTTCGGGCGGCCCCCGCTCCCGGTGCGGGCCCCACGTGCAATTCACTATTCACGTGAAAGAATTAATAAAATTCACAACTTCGTAAATTTATTAACCATTCTATAAGGTCTAATACATTATTCACTTTAAAGTAAAATACATTTAGGGACGGTGTTACAAAGATCATAAGATTTTTTAGTGGAATATCACGACATTTTAATTGAGCATCAAACATCCTCTATTAAGATCAATGAGCATTAATGAATTTTTAATGAGTATCAGACCTATACAAATGAGCATTCGTAACTTACAAGATGATCATTGATATGAAAATTGTATGTTTTGTTTGTTGAACATCAAGATATTTTCAGTGAGCATCGAACCTCCGTTATTAGGTACTAGAATCATGCAATTGAGTATCGTGATTTGTGGTCTCGTGTCTATAATCAAATTCTATGCGAATCTAATGTAATATGAGACTTTTGAAATATACATGGATAAACATTTTAAAATAAGCATAACAAAGGTACTAAATGGACATACATTACTTACAAAATGAGTTTTCAAAAATTGAAATGTTCATTTGTATATATTTATTCTTTTTAGACGCTATAATTATTTGAGTTTAAAATAAAGAAAAAAAGAAAAAAGACAAAAAAGTAAACTAACTAAAGTAAAAGTAACGAAAAAGTAAAATAAAAGAAACAAAGAGAAAAAAGAAAGAAGAGGAAAAAAGTAACGAAAAGTAAAATAAAAAAGACAAAACAAATACGTAGTATATAACAAACTAGGATGACGGGATGGAGGGTAAAAATGAAAAAGAATGGCGGCTGAAATAAATAAAAGCAACGGGGAGTGAGGGAATGAGGAAGAATCAGGAATAGAGATGGATGAGAGAATCACTCTGCCACGTCATTTAAAAACCGGGTGTACATGTACACCCGGGTATATAATATAATTTACGAAGTATGTCTTAAAAAATCAATTTATATTACGTGTGTGTAAATATGCAATTGTAGATGAATTTGAGTATCATTGGTTCTTAAAATAAGATTACATTAATCCTATATTTAGGGGGAAAACGCTCATAATCATTTTTAGAATTGTTCCTATGTTTAACGTGCTCTTTTTTTGAACATTATCCCATGAACCAGCCGTTTCTAGTTTCGATCGGTCCCAAACCAGTGAATTTCGGTCCACACCTATGCCAGACTGCCAGAGGTTCATGGAACATGTTTTACAAGACTACGTATTTAAGAATCCAATATAGTTAGGAAATCTATTAAATATCTATTACGTATATACGAAGTATATACTAGTATTAGATTAGATATACCACATATAAGCATATAATATATTTAACAGAAATTGCCCTAATTAGGAGTAAGAACGTTTTGAAATTCTAAAATAGGAGTATCATGTTTTTTATTCTCTGAATAGGAATAATCTGCCATGTTTGAAAAAAAATGTCATGTTTAAAGCCTTGTAATGCCCAAACTTGGCAGAAATTTACTCCTATTTAGAGAATAAAAACATGATACTTCTATTTTGGAATATCAAAACGTTTTTACTCCTATTTAGGGAATTCTCTCTATATTTAAACTTTATAAAGAACTTAGTACTTTAATAACTTATAATCCACATCTTTTATCTTTATTTTTATATTCCCAAAGTCCCACTGGATTTTTCCAAATTTCCCTTTTTATTTTTACACAATTTTAATATTATAATTTCAAACCCAACATCAACTTGATAATGTTGAGTTGGACGGAATTAGTATAATACAGAGGTAGTATAACACGGAATATAAAGTAGCAAAGTTGTTATAATTTTTCGAGTGAAAATTCTCATCCCAATTTAGGGCATAATGGTAAATTAGTGTATGTATAACTAACAATTAAGAGTGTATACGTAAAAAATTGAAATAAAATGTTAGAGTATATGGTAATTGGAGCATATATTGCCCTCAAATCCTTATCAAAATCTTTATCTTTATATGTTTATATACTATCATCCGTCTCTTTTTAATCGCAACATGTTGAATTTTACACTATTCACATGTTCTACTTTGACTACATTTTATATTATTACGGAGTATTATTTTATGAAAGTTATTTTAAAAAAATATTGTTCAATATATCTTTACAAATTTTCAAAATCTAATTTTAAGTATTTTTTACTAATAGAGATTAAGATATAATTATGGTCAAAGACGTGCGTTGACAAGTGTGAAATGTTGACCGTTTCAACTAAAAAAGAATGAAGGAAGTATATATATAAATATATACTCCGTATAAAAAGGGAATCGGTTGTGGGATAATTGTTCGAGCCTAGACATAATGCGCAATCCATGTCAATGCAAGTTCCGCATAGTAAGGCATGACTGACTCATTAGCAATATAATACGGAGTAATAAGGAGTACGGAGTATTTTGGAACAATACACATATATGTACCCCTTTTTTGGGAACCAAAATGATTTTATTGATATAAACTAAAACAGTACAATTGGATAAAGAAGAAAAAAACAGAACATAGTACAAAAAAAGAGAGTAAATTAATTCTAGAGCTAGTCCCATGAGAAATCTCTGGATTGAGACCTTGTTGTCATACTGTGTCGCCTCTTGTTCTATTGAGATTTCCTGTATATTTTAGGTTGCGTGTTCAGATTCTCAGTTGGCAGGTAATCCTATGAGGTTACGAAATTGGCTTTATGGCAAATCGTGGTTGAATTTGGACTTCCTAATTTCTTGCGGGTATGAGATAGGAGGATGACGTTCACTTTCGGTTGCATGTCCCAAAAAGTCATTTGTGAACAGGGAGTCGTCTGAATGATCAAAATCGTCTGAGGCATCTGAGTAAGCCTGGATTTGTGGCAACTGAGGTTGTTTTTCAGAAGAGAAGACTTGTTGATTCTCGATGCCTGCTGCCTTGATTTGATAAATAAAAATCAGTTTCGATATGGATGTGGGTTCCTTGATTTCTGACATTCTTCCGTGTTGAAAAGATATTGAATCGTCCTGCACTGATTTTGAGAGCCATACAAAATTCGAAAAAATATTAAGGAATTTAAAAAGGCTCGAATTGTGGTGTCCCATGGGTATCTGAATAAAGCTTCCTTTGTGTTTCACCATTTTAACAAAGTAGCCCACTCTGTTAACATCCACAGAGATCGTGACATCTCCAAATCGCCTTTTGTTTTATATCAAAGTTTGCGTGATCGATATTTGTGAGTTCGGAGATGAACCGGATGATTTGAGGGACAAGCTCAAGTTTTAGGTAGAGCTTGTGCATAAGAGATCTTTTAAAAAGGACCAAATCATTGTTACATATTGCAAATTTGAACGTTTTTGTTCCAATTTTGATGGAGTCAAAGCCATATTCTCTAAAGGAGTATTTTTCTGAAGGACCAGTAGATGCTCGAATTACCTCCCTCGTAGTTATCTCCGTATTTAATCCCGAGATGCTTGGTCGTACATTCGTATGGGTAATGACCGCCTGCCCTGAAGGAAAGCTGGTTGTATTATTGTTGTTCGAGACAATCTCAGAGCCTTCATATATATATATATATATATATATATATATATATATATATATATATATATATATATATATATATATATATATATATATATATATATATATATATATATATATATATATAGGGAGCGGTTCCGGTGAGATATGGGTCTTAGGAGAGGAAAAAAGAATAAAATCTAACCATCCAATGTATGAAATCAAAGACCAAGATCGATTGTCATTAGTGATGGTTGCTTGGTAATTAATACAAACTTTGAATGGCAATTCTAACATCAATTGGAACGGTCAAAGTATAAAGGACAAAATTGTAAAAACTCTAGTGAATTAATCACGTTAGTTAATGCATCACCACTCAAATTTCCATATATTTCGGTCAACTAAGTGCATAAATCCTAAAATTTTGGGCTACGTATTGTTTTCCATTAATTGGTGATTTGTTTGGATTTCCATAGTATTTTCCACTATTAAAATATTTTAAATATTAACTTAAATTAGTTTCCTTTCAAAAAAAAAACTTAAAGTAGTTAATTTTGAAAGTGCACTTTTACTGGAATCAAGTTGTATTCTGAAGTCATGAAGGTTACACTTGATCTCAATTTAAAAATACAAAAAATAGTAACGTGCACTTGGAAATAATGCACATTTTTATAGAATCTTTGCAATAACATATGTGTCTTCGAGTGCTTTAAAAATTTATTAATTGTGCATATTCTTTTTACTAATTGTGCACAATTCAATAAGTATATTTGCATTATCATAAAGAGCATAGCAATTAATCTAAGTTCATTTAAATATTTATTTACACATGTTTGATTTAGAGAAGTGCATTTATGATAATCTAATGTGCATTTTGTTCATCTTCCTAGACATAGTACTTCATCCATCTAATTTTGTATATTTGCATTTTGACATTGAATAAATGCAATTTTATTCGGAATATAATGCAACATCCATTTAGTTAAGTATTTGGATATTTTTCAATCTCAGAAGAAATGAGATGTTCATTGAGTTAATATGCATCGATATAATTGAGATTGCATGTTTTTTATTTGGACTATTTAATCTACACTCTACACATGTTGTGCACATCCATACATGTTTTAAAAATGAATATAAATATTCAGGCGTATATTTTAGACATATACAAAAATGCATTATTATATTACGCTTCATGAATAACTATATTGTCACTCTTTTACAAAATAAAATGCACTTTTATCATGTGCATACCAAATATATAAAAATTGCACTACTATATATTACAATTTCTAAACTTCCATATCCGCACTTTTATCATTATGAAATGCACTTTTCTTCCAAAAGCATCATACTTGTTCCATATTATATGATGTTGCCTTCCGATTTCACCTGTATTTGCCAAAATAAAAGTAAAATTAAAAACTAATTAGTGAAAAGTGCAAGAACAAAGTAAGCTAGTGCATCAAAAATTTAATTGAAAATTTACTTTTATTATCTAAAAATTGGTGGCTATCATGTATGTATTTCATAATACACATGTAAAATGCATTACATGACAATTTAGATGCACTAATTATTGGTGCAAATCCACAAATAAGAAAATTAGATTAGTGGAAACTACAAACTTAAACATTGTGCAACAAAAATAAGTAAAAGTGCAACAAGAAACGTTTATTATTGCATGACAATGACATGTGCACTCATCGTTAGTGCAAATCTACAAATCTAAAAATTATATTAGTCCAAATTTAGAAATCTAAAAATTGTGCAACGAAAATATATAGAAGTGCAAGAACAAACAGTTGTTATTGCATCCAGTTCAACAACTAGCATTTCAGTATCTATTGAATTATAAAATGCAGAACTAGATAAACATAAACTTAGAATGATAGTTGTGCACCGTTATCAATCATTAAAACATGTGAAAGCAAATAAATCATCAATAAATAAGAATTAACCATAAAACAAAGTGGATTAAAAAGCACTTGATTCATTGGGAGAAAATGTATATTTTTAACAGAGTAGCAGACCGAATACAACTTCAAACTCCATAAGGACAAATGATGCCGGAGAGAAAATAGCCGGAGAGAAAACGCCGGAGAGAAAATAGCCGGATGATTAATGAATCTTTGGAAAACACCGGAGAGAAAACGAAGGAAGAATAACAGAGCAACGAAGGAGGAATAACACAAGAAAAACGCCGGAGAGAAAAACGCCGGATAAAGGTTGAAAATATCTTTGGAAAGAATTTTGGAGAAACGGTTATGGAAGGTTTAGGTGTGCGTTTAGGAAGTGTACGAACTTAGCTATTCAAATTGACTTCAATACCCTTTGGGAAGGTTTAGGCGCACGTATGATTAAAACTTAATCCAATGGTTGATATCTATTCTTTTTTACTCTCCTAAGATTAAGTTCTCACATGAACCTAAATATATATATATATATATATATATATATATATATATATATATATATACACAAATGTTCATGTCCGGAATTCCGGACAGGAACCGCCGTCCGGACGGCGGCGTTTGGCCGCCTTCCCGGTGGAACTTTTTGATGAAATTTTTATGGCATGTTCTTCATCAAGTCTAGTTTATCCACACAAAAATTCAGCCAAAAACTCAACCGGGAAGGTCGTCAAATAATTTTTGCAAGTTAACTGGTCCGGAACATACATATTCCGGACCAGTTAACTTCCAAAATTCATTTGACGATCTTCCCGAACGAGTTTTTGGCTGAATTTTTTTGTGGATAAACTAGACTTGATGGAGAACAAGTCATAAAAATTGCATCGAAAAATTCCACTCGGAAGGCGGCCAAACGCCGCCGTCCGGACGGCGGTTTCGGTCAGGAATTCCTGACTGGAAGAGTACTCTCTCTCTCTCTCTATATATATATATATATATATATATATATATATATATATATATACATATATATATATATAGAGGGTTGGGTTCAAGTAAAAAGTCATCCTCACATGAAAAATAGGAATAAATCTTATACGTTGAAATGAGAGATTTAAATGGCCAAGATACAAGGACTTACCGTTATTTCAGTGCACTAGATGTAGACAATTAAAGACATTAATTTTGAGAGTTGTGTAATTAAATACGTGAGGGTGAGCTTGTAAATTACTCTTCCACTTTCATTTTAAAACAAACCAATCTACGGAACTATTAAATTAGGCATATTGCACGTCATCAATCATTCTCTTACCATAATAAGCCGAGCAAATTAATTATGGAAGAGTGAAAAATGAAAGGTTATTTTATTCAGTATCTTTGGAAAAGTGGATGTAAGTGCAAGCTAAGTGCAACCAAAATGTTTAAATGTGCATATACGTGAAGCACAAGTGTTGATATGTCAATTGTCAACTATTAAGCATTGAAACTAGGTTGGTACTTGTGACTTTTATTTTCGTTTTTATTGTTTTAGAAAAGATAAAGTACTAATTGATAGTATTAGACTTTGTTTGAAATGCATAATATAATCTAATATGTGCATAAATGGATCATACATGTGCTTAATAAATAGATTTATAAATTTGTCAGGAGTGCAATTCGTAAATGAATGTGTGCATATTTGTGTGTTATAATTATGTAATGTTTTTATATATACGAGTTACTCATTTTTTTTGTAATATTGTAATGTGCATTTGGGGGTTTTAAAAGTGAAAATATATTCAATGATAAGGGGATACTAATTTAATGTACACTTGCTCCCGTGCAAAGTGTGAATGATTGCACTTTTTTTCATTGCGTTGCACTAATTCATATTTCTATTGCACCTCTTTTATAGGTGTATGTTGATGACGTAAAAGTGATAATCTATATATTCAATGATAAGGCCATTAGTGCAAACAAGTATTTGTCAACCGTGCAATTTTTAAGTTCATGACTGCATATGTGAGTGTTATAAAATATGCAATTATTTCAATATACTAGTAAAATAGTACATGATTAGCAATTAATGATTATTATTTTTCAAATTCTTATGTAGTGCAATACGGTTATTTATATGTGGAAATTAATAAGGTAAAAGTGATCATGTATTTATGTGCGGGGGAGGACTAAACATGCGAATTATCAGAAGTTTGGATTGATATGCATTGATGCAATTATTAAAATTTAAGAAATTCTGAATTAACGAGATAAATGGGATGGTGTGTCGTTAACATGTAGAGGTAACATTATAAGAAGGGAAAAAATGGTGCGAGTCCAAGTAAAGATGAAATTAAAAAACTTACCATAATAATGTTTGCCACAATTATGATGAGTAGCGGAAATTTCATTAATTGTAAATGGATGTTACAAAAATAACCTCGTAGAAGAATGTAGCATCCGAACCATTGATTCATGAACATAAACGGATTACATGGTTGTGATGCATTCTCATTTTTCATAGGAAGAGCACTTTTTATTTGATCCATATATATATATATATATATATATATATATATATATATAGAGAGAGAGAGAGAGAGAGAGAGTTAGGTTCAAATGAGAACAAGCCTTAACGTGAGAAGTGAGAACAAATCACAACCATCGATTTAGAGGATTTGATCTGCGCTCAACTTAAATTACATGAAGGTTATTTACGTATTTTATTCCTAAGCAGTTTTGGTAACCGACTAAAGGCAGTTAATGCCTTCATCCATAATTGACTTTTCAATTATTGAAACATTAAATTCCATATAGTGCATGTTTGGCACACATAAGTTACTACATTCTAGCTTTTGTATTGTTTAAAAAGTCTCTAAAAGCTTTTAGTTGTGTGTTTGGCATGACAAATTTTAAGAGCTTCTCGAAAAATAAAAGATCTTTTTTGAGATGCTACGGGGAGTAGCATCCGAGAAAAGACCGTGACTTTTACTATTAATTTGTCCTAACAGCTTGTATACCAAACAAGACTAAATCAAACAGTCGGCTTTTTACCAAACAGCTGCCACCTTTTCTTTTTAAGATCTTTTCAGTCACTAAAAGCTAACAATTACTAAAAAG